GAAACGCAAACATTCACACCTGAATCCTGCGTGTTCCTTGACAGGAGGCTGCTACAGTCCGCCAGTGCCTCACAACAACACCCACAGTCTTCGGTACACATTATTCTCTTGCTTTCATCTTTTTTTAATTCACTTCGTTTTTCACGATGCTACTCCTACTGCACAACATCGAGCCGTTTTCAAAGCTTTCCATTTCAGAGGAAAGTTTTGCCTCCACTTTCCGGAAAGTAACTGTACAGCTTAAAGGGGCAACAGCAGAAAAGGTGGTGAAGAGATTACAAAATAACACTTTTTACATAAAACCAAATTTTTGGATTCTGGCATAAGCATACCTCAAGGTAGAAAGAGCAGAACAAATTTTGCAGCGAAAAGCTTTGAATATTGTCCCAATATCTTTATTTAAAGGATTACAGAATAGAAGTTTTCCCCTGCTATGCATGACAAAACATTAATAACAATACACACCCTTAATTTCTTTAGCATTGGCCTGCTCCAAATATCTGGGCATACAAAGATATTCAAGTGCTTCTTACGGCTCAGTTAAACCCCTGCATCAGTATTTGATTTTGTGCCTGTTTTTTCACACACCTCCTTTACCGTTCACCAATTAGACATGTTGTTAGAATCCACACTGCGCTGAGGGAAAGACAATGCCTCAGCAGCACACGTGACCTTTATTTTTTTATTTTTTCCCCAATTGGCAGCTCATCGATGCTAGCTACTTTTTCCATTTAGGAGATAATTCTTCAGACGTTACTACGAATATGCTCAGATTGTTTTACTCCACGTAACAATATAATTACAATGAAAAGTCTTGATAATTGCTATGCAGCTCATGCAGTAGGTTCACAATCGCACTTCTCCCGAGTCTTAGCTAATGCATTTATTAGTAGGTAAGACTCAATTTCATACCCTTAAAGAGTGTTCTGAGGTTTGAGAAGAAAAAAAAAAAATCTCTTAGCAGTCTCAACACTGCACAACAGCAATTTATTTGGCAGCAGAGGGAGAGGGGAGAATAATGCTTTATAAACAGTTTATTTTGTACTGTTCCCCAGGCACCTCATGACTGCCAGACCCAGAAGGAAAGTTAAAATACATCAAACACACCGAGCAGCTCCGACTACAGAGGCCACACTGGGTTCCTGGGTCTACCCTGGGCTTCTGTGTCGGCTACAGTTCATGTCCTCAACAACTCAGTCCTTCCTGGGGCTGCCCTCTCTCTCAAAACATGGTGTGCTTATGAAGAGCAATCATCAAAGAGCTTGAAAATCTAGCCAGTTCCCTCAGCTTGGTAATACTCCTGCAGTTGAAGCCCACTGCAGTTCCAGTTTTCAGTGCTTTAATTTTAATTAACTTGTCTATTTCTTAGAGAAGGCAACAAACTCTTCTGAGATCTCCCACCATCAACAAGAAATACTGCAAGTTCAAAGCACAATGGGACCACTGCTGGACTAGTGTACTATTTTGTGAAATAATACATATTTATACGGTATAAATATAATATTTGGGTAGGCTGTTCCCACCGTCTTTGTGTAAATATAATACTTGGCAAAGTTTTCCCCACTGTCTTTGTAAATAATCTTTTGACTCCTTCTAAAAGGCTCAAAGCAAGAACAAAAAAAAATCCTTATCCCTTTAAATCGTTGGCAGCTTTTAGACCTACTGTAGCTTTAATCTCAGCTACACCAAAACAAGGCCAACAAAGTACCCAAGAAAAAGAAAAGCGCTTCTTGTTCTTTCTATGCTCACCAGGAAGTTTCAAAGCTACCTTAAAATCTTACTGCAGCACAAACAGTACCATGTTCCTCATCTTATCAGCACAACTGTGGAATACCTGCATGATCGCTACATTAGGTAATCCAAAGATTGCGTAAGGCACAAGAGCACACTTAAACTAGGTCTAGGGAAATGAAAGTAGAACAATTCCAAGGTCCGCTGTCTATAAAGAGGTAACCAGAACAGGCTACTTTTTTTAAAAGAGTAGAACATGTCATCTGGGTGTTTGTACTTTTTTTGGTTTTTGTTGTTTCCTCGCTGGGTACACATCGCAACAGTTTATGATCACAAGCAACACAGAAAAACGATGAGTAAGACCTTTTTTAACCACTGTTGCAAGATAAAAATGTAGTTTTATCAATCAGTGTCTTAAATGCCCATTTAAGTCACAGAATAATTCATTATGGTAATGAAACGAGTCTCATGAGCAGCCTTTTGCTTTTAACCAAAAATTAACCCTAAAAGACTCATGCAAAGCTACCACTGTGCGACTTATACACAACTTACAAGGACTTAAAGATACGAGAAATTATGCTGAAAATTACCTCATTATTGACTGATGCAAATTAGACAGACAAGGTAATATCTCCAAACCAAACTATAGACACAGTGTGAGGGCTTTTGATCCGATACACCAATATATAACAATGAAGAATTCAAAATAGGAAACTTTCTATTATATACTTTCAGTACAAAGAGAATGACTTATTGGAGAAATTCAGGCAAAACAATACATAAAAAGCCGAAGATTAACACCTATTCAATGTAGATTTAAAAACAGTTTCAGAAGAGTCAAGCATAGAGTGTATTTAAAAGATTTATATACACCCATAATGATAATATTACATATTGCTGCTTATTAGGATGGTTTAATGTGATATAGTCTTTTACCAAAATTTAGCTGAAGATTTCTAAAAGTTTCTTCCTAAAAAGATCAAACTGGTCACAAAATGTGACCTTGTGAACTCTAATGATTAATGATTCTACTACTGATTTTTAATACAGTTTGAAAAACACATATTCCCCAAGAACAAGAAGTCAGAAAAAGCCCCGCAGTTGTTGTTGTTGAAGCCAGCACCATGGGTTCTTTCAAGAACAAGATGAATGAGATCCCTCAAGCAGGACAGGAGGCACGTCTTTACGCTTTTTACACAAAGAGATGCTGGAACAAGCTGCCCAGTCACTTTGATGAAGTCGACACCCTGACACCCTTCAAGAAACAGCTGGATGAGATTCCTGGATCACTAGGCCTCTAAATATCAAACAGGATAGATGGGCCAAACGCCTTCCTCTAAAAAGTGACTTTTGTCTCCAAGATGACAGGTACAGTACATTTTAAAATCACTCTCCAGAATGCAAAAGGCTCAAATCATATTAAATATGAAGAATCTTGATGAGTGTATTTAATATTATATTGACAGGTGTGCATGAACCCTATATAATGTTTTTTTTAAATGCATACAAGATAAAAAGAACTCGACTGACAGCCCAACCTTGCACTCTACCTCTTCACACCATATAAACTTCAGCTTAGGCTCCGACACCATTGTGCACTCTAATTACGAATTTAAAAAAAAATCATGTTTTATCAGCTGTCCAAAAATGGCACAGAATGAATAGTGCATCTTAACATCATTTCCACCACAAAACTCAGAGTGTGACATGGAAGCATCCTTTGTGTGAATGAATGAATCACTGATAAAGTGCTGAAGTGTTTCCAGAGCTAAACACAAAATAATGACACAATAATCGGTCTTGGCAAAAAGCAAATATATTTCCTTCATAAAACAGCCTAGGGACAACATACAATCTATTATCTCTGGCATGCTCATTTCCATTTGTATAGCCCTCCATTAAACATATTTAAACTAGTAAATAACTAAACCTATCTCATTTCAGGGAGGAGAAAGTTTTTTTTTTTTGCACCAGTTGTTCCTCTACATTCTAAGGCTAAATCCACCACACTCAAAAGAGAAAGAAATTGTTTCTGTTCATTCCTTCACCACCAGACAGAAATGGCTTCACATAGCATCTCCAAAAAACAAACACCCCATACGGACTTTAACACCGATGCATGAAAAAAAAAAAACGTTTTACCACTTTCAATGCAGGGCAAATGCACAGCACCCATCAGCAGGGACGTTCTCCTCCAAAGAGAGCATTTAGAGAAACTCAGGCTTGCATTTGAAGTCTCTGCAGCCCAGATCACCTTTCAGCAGTGTGACGGCAAAATCCACTGCTTTTGAATATATATATATAAACCCAAGGCTCTGAAATAACGTGTACAAACTAGAGACCTGATGTTCTGTCCCGAAGGAGGTGTGCTGTCATACAAGTCAAGCCTGTTCAACCGAGAGGGGGCTGAGTCACACCGACTTCCAAAACTAGAGCTCAGTCTGACAGTAAAGGTGAGCTCTGGGAGAGATACCTCGTTTTCTGCACTTTTCCCTCTCTCCTTGCAAAGCACCAAGGGGGGGGGGGGAGATTTTACAAACATCCCAAAAGGGAAAGAGGGCAGACAGTAGAGGAAAGGGGAGAGGGGGGCGCTTTTCCGAGAGTCACCAAGTGTCAAAAAGCACGACGCCAAACTCCGCAGCTTTTAAAACACGGGCGGCTGTTTGCGGGTGGATGCCAACTCACTTTATGAAGCACCGAGCTCCCTCGAACGTGAATCCTTCTTCCCAGCCAGTGGGCAAGTCTAAGTAAAACAGAAGAAGGAGAGAAAAAAAAAACCACTTTATAACTTTACAGAGCAGGGAGAGACAGATGCTGGTGACCTGCAGGCGCTGTCCTGCTCTGCGGAGCGATGCGCAGTGCCATTAGTGGGTCACTGGGCTGTTTTCCACCGCTCCCGCTGTACTGCAGCACCAGCGGTGATAACACAACCGGCGAGACCGCTACCGGAGGAGCAGGCTGATCATTTCTCATCGCATTTTTTTCCCCACAACTGCACAACCTTTACGCGGAGCGAACGGGCGTACAGGGCTTTTAAACGCGCGGGGTAATGCTATTTTATAAGAGCCTGTTCCTCGCACGGCTCCGTGTCAACAGCAACAAACACACGCGTCGCAGGACAGTATTTGTGAAATTCCTCCCCTTTTTCCTCTCTTTCCTTTAGGGGGAAATCAGCGGGTCCACCGACTCGACACGCCGTAGGCTCATTTGTAAGCAAGACCTCGCGTCTCGGGCTCCCCGTGGTTTGATCATTTATTTTATTTTTATTTTATTTTTTTTTATAGCGCCTCTCTCACATCGCCAGCGCCGCCGCACCCCCGCTTCGCTCCAGCTACCTGACCGAGCTACAACACGCTCGCCCGGCGGCGTCTCCGGACTTGCGATCGCTACCCGATTGCTACCAAAAGTCCGCCTGCACACACACACACAAAATAATCAAACGACGAGGGGGCAACTTTTCCCCGGCGCTGGTTTTTGACTATCCATGATCGCCCCACGCTACGTTATAACGCGTGTGGCAGGTTGCACCGTTCAACACAACCACCACCGCAAAAAAAAAAAAGTAATGACATGACAAGACAACCCCCTGAAACCAATTCTGTAGGTTTCTCCGACACGAACGAACTACTTTTTTTTTTCTGGCCGGTCTCTAGTTCCCACGTTTACCTGCTACCGAGCGAGCGTGCGTTTCCAGCACTGCTGGTGCACTGACAGACGCACTTGAGATTTCTTGCCCTAATGTTTGAACACCGGTAAACAATACCAGCAGTACTCTGGAGACACGACCGACAGACCCCTGGAAACGCGACTTAAAGTCCCCCCTGGTCCCTCCGCGACACCAAAGCCAGTGCACAGCAAAGGCGCCCCGGCCAGCGGCAAAGCAGCATTTACCTGGAGTTTTCCTGTGTCCAGTAATTACGGCCTCACCAGTGACTGGATGCAACCAGGTTGTACTCTTAGCCTGTTCGCTGTGGGTAAGAAATAAAAAAAAAAGGGAAACAACGTATAAAAACAGCGTGAGCTGCACATTCAAGCCGGGGAAAGGGGTTATGTATCCCAAGGTCTGTATCCACTCGATATTTACTTGATGAAGAAGACACGTCCGTCCCGGGTGACCCCATAACTCCAAGAAGACGGGAGGCAAGACAGCCACTCCGGATTGAGATCCGCCGCCATGTCTGGCAATCTCCAGCGCTGGAAGTGCGCGTCCTCGCCGCGCGGACACGGGAGCCCAGGCAACGGGGTCGGAGGCAGAGCGCGCCGAGCGCGGCAGACCTCTCGAGGGGGGGCGGGAGCGTGCTTGCGAAACGCCAGCCTCCCGGCTCACTGGTCGCGCTGCTGTCGGCTTCTCAGCCCCGCTCGAATAAAAAGGGTGGTGTAAACAAGGAAGGTGTGTCTTGTCGCCTTTCCTGACAGGTATCGCCTGGGTGCTTAAAGAGACAGGGGGTGAGCACGTGGAGCGGGGAGAAGCGGGAGAGAGACTGGTCGATTCGCGATCACCCCGACCTGTCATGCGGAAATCTGGAGGCATGTTTTATGCAGACGTGAGCAGCGGGTGAAAATGAATCCACGTCTGGAAACGAGCTGTCATATATTCAGGACCTATTGCAATAAATAGGGGATAACTAATCCCTATACACAGGAGGCAGGTACAGTATTCTCCACATTGCTGTCTGTAGCTTTTATGGGGGGGAATGGTTCACTCATTGTATTTTTATTGCCTCGATTAAGTTCCCGTGAACCTGATTTTAGATTTTAAGATAACCAAGGCTCTACAAGTGACTTCCAGAGAACGAACTGCAACCGCCTCGAAGCAGGTAACCGAGTAATGATGTGTAAATGCTGAGATGACGTCCGCGTCACGTCTCCCTCTTGGGGTTTTGCAACATGAAGGGATTGGTCTCCCTCACAAAATGATTAAAAAAGCAAAGGGGAAAACGCATGCAAAGCATCAGATGCGGTGCCGCAAAATAGGCGTCTCATAAATAACCTTACAGGTGTGTGTGTGTGTGAACTGTCCTTAACAATAAATCCATACACATAAAACCTGTAATGTCCCATTAGCATCTTGCTTCTTTCTAAATGTCCTCGTGTTTGCAGCTCTCAGCTTTCTACGACAATGCGGGACGATGATAATGGCGTGCATTCATTCAATAAAGATAAAGACGGCTGAACCCAGGGCCAGTTGCGGCTCTCCAGAAGGTTTTGTTATGACCCCTGACCTCTTCTCTAGAAGGGCAACTTCAGCAGGCGCCCTGCTCCAAAGCCATGTGAGAGCACTGCTTGCATTGTGCCAGTCAAGACGAGCACGCTTCTGCACTGCGCGGAACAGACACTGGGGTGATTATGGAGCTCGTCTGACAAGGAATTCTTCTGCACTTCTGACAGGAACAGAGATCGCTTCAGTGTGGAGAGATCGAGGTGACAATCTGACTTCTTCCCTTGTGAAAACTGAGCAGCGGGCTTCAAAGGGGGGTATTTTGATCCAGTGGGATGACGTACTGTAGATCTGTGTAGGCTGAGAGATATGAATGAAAGAATCACCAGTGCAGTCAATTCTGGACGGAAATGAATTACATCATTTATTTTACTTAGCGTTACCGTTCCAACATACAGTGCAGTATGAACAGGTTTGCGCCTGTCACTTAATGTTTTACAACCGTGATCAAATAAATACGACCAGTGAAATGTATTCATCGTCAGTGACACTTCAGATTGCAAGTCTGTGGATTTTATGTTGTAACACAATCTGGTATGTCCTCGTGTAATGTAATTATAACGAGTTTACAGGTTTTAAAGCGCTTCGATCGGTATTTGCATATTTAGGCGGCAAAGACCTTCTATTGCTTAATCTCTTTCCCAGGAAAAGACAGACACATGAAAACCAATCCATCGTGGGAAACTTGTAGCTCTGGAAAAGAGATCCATCTAATTTTAAAAGCTGAAGACAGGAAGTGGTATAAGAATATCTGAGTGGAAATTCACACAGTCAAAACAGATTTACCAATGAGTAAAGACATCGCGTGGGACAATATTAACCGTGCTTACTGTATATTGATTTCTGTAAATCATTCAGAAGAGGCTATCACATCAAGTTTTGTCCTTTTTTATTATCACTTGTACGTAATTAAATATTAATCATTAAACCACAGTGCATTACGCGCATGTTGAATCGTATTCTTGCAATTACTGTATTCTCCATTCATTTTCGTGGAAATACTTTGCAACAGTAGTCTGTTTAGGACAGAACAGAAGCTAAAACGTCGGTATCCTGTAGTACTGTATATTTTCCTTCAGTACAACATCATATTGGTACCTCCACGTTGAAGACGATAGTTGTTGGATCCAGCACAACGGACGAGGCCAGAACTCAAAAGGCTAATGACGACCTGATCACTTCACATTGGATGTTTTAATCAGTACTGGGGGATATGCTAATAGATCTACACCTGGATTGTACCTTTCCCTCTAAAATTAAAGTATGTCTCACCACGGGCGACAGCAAGAATTGACGAGAATTGTTATGTGAATTTGCCCTTCCTTCTCCCTAGTCACTGACTAATGTAAATGGGTTGTACAAGTGAAGTAAGTACAGGAGATGCAACAAATATTTCACTGCAGAAAGTCATCAAGTTTCCATCGTGATCTGCACGCAGAGTTAACAAGTTCCATTTAGCAGCAAAACCTTCTAGGGTAATATTTCTGTTGGAATGTATTCACAAGCCTGCTTATTTACAATGTAATAAGGCCTCATCACATCACTGGACCTTTTGTTGCCTTCTTCTGAATCGCAGAATATGGCATTGTGCATACAGTACCTGGAAATCTCATCTACTGGTGTAAATTGGAGGTTTTACAAGTTACTGTGTACATTTTACTTTATTACGGTTTATTTAATCTTTATTATGGGTAGAAATGCAGTCATCAATGCTAATTCTTTCTAACCCCAAAATATCAACATAGCATTGCAGTTCCCCTTCAACAGTTTATCACCAGTAAATTGTTTTCTCATGGTATAAAACACACTCATTATATAAGAGCTGTTTAAGCAAAATTATTTTCTCCTAATGTCTTCTTCTTTTTTTTCCAAAATGGGAAGTAAGTTCTTCTCCTTGGCAAAAAAATGTGAAAATCATCAGTCTTCTATTCACAACGACACAGCAAACAGAATTCAAAGACAAAATAAAGGAGTCAGTAATCTGCTGTATCTGTTTCCTTGCACAGTATGATATCGCAACGTCTGGTGAAAGTTGATGTGAACTGCAATAAACACATCCCAACAGTGATAAGAACAGGGATCGTTTAAGGTAGTATTATTAAATCATCTGTGAGTATTCTAAATTTACACTCAATGTAAGAAACTATATCAAACATGCATTTTTTTTCTAAATACTTTATCCAATACAGGGTTGGAGGGGAGCTGTAGCCTATATCCCAGCAAGCAATGGGCACAAGGTGGGCTACGCCCTGGATGAGACGCCAGTCCAGTTCAGGGCACACACAGACAGAAACACGCACTCATTCACACAAGGGCCAATTTTCCCAGAGGTCATTTAGCCCACCAGTATGTCTTTGGATTGCGGGAGGAAATCTGAGCACCTAAAGGAAACCCACGCAAAGAGAGCATAAAAACTGTATGCGCACAGCTGCTGAGGTCCGGAATTGAACCCAGGGCCCCAGCACTGCAAGGTAGCAATGAAATAATGGCTCAATAATGCAAACCATTGAGCCTCCCTATATGAAACATCTGATGGCAAAATTTGAAGTATTATAGTACTCACACTTTTACATGGGTATAGTCCTGGTGGAGGGTTACTTCCTGTCAATAATCTTATCACTGTCTAAACTACAGAGATGTCATAGTGTGGTAACTGAGAAAAGCATGACACTTACTGTACTTGCAATAGAGCCTGACTGTGTTAGGAAACAGTTGTTTTCCCCAGGTTTGTGAGCTTAATGTGAACATGCATTCTCTCTTTCAAACCTTTTCAGTTCTGAATCTCGGCGCTTACCGAAGAAGGTAAATATGGAAGCAATGGGAAAAGTATTAAACTCTTCCATTCTCTGCCTCGCAGTGTCTCACCCATCATGACAGTTGTCTGATGCATCATATGTTGAGTCAGTCTCACACTCAAGTCATTCATAGAATCAGACTTAACTAAACCATTTAATCCATTCCTCCAGTAAACTGTCACAATGCATAGTTTGGGACCCTGTGCAGACGATATAATCTGGAAGCTGGAAGTGACTGGAATAAGACTTCTAGGGAAACACAGCAGGAGCAGGACAGGAAGACAGACAGGGGGGCGTGGCGGCTGTGATCTGGCGCTCAGGGGGCGTGGCGCAGGCGAACAAGTCCAGTGGGGGTGCAAAGTGGAAAAACAGGGCGCAGTCCAGAGTCCAGGTAGCCGGAAGATACAATCCGAGACGAGACAAACACGGTAAAAATCCGGAACAGGGACAGGGAACCAGGAGGATAAAACCAGTAATGAGGCCAGGAGCTCCGAGTCCGGAACTCAGCAGGTGTGGACGCCGATCAAAGCCTAAGCCCTCACGCCGCAGATGTAGGGCATCTTGATGCTAGGCAGACTTCTGGGCGTCTGTCTTCCAAGGCAGAGCCAAGCGTAGCGGGAGTGCCCGCCTTAAATAAAGACGGACAAAACAGGGGGCATTTGCACGAAATCAACTAAAATCCGAAAAGGCTGGAGCGCCCTTAAGAGAAGGGATTAGGATCGTGACATAAACAGCAGCAGTAAGTAGCAATGCATGGCACGAGGGAATCACAAGAGGTGACGATCATTTATGTTTGAATCTGTTCAAATATCCCAAGTCTTAAAAAGGGATTGTGCTACATAATTCTGGAGAATGGGTACAAGTCCGCAAAAAATAGAATATCTCTTTTAAAAAGTCTTTCCATGTGTTTCTTTTAAAAGGGAATAACTGTTCCATTCTCTTAAAATTAAGTGAGGATTAAAAAACTTGACAATACTGTTCAATGACAGCTCTGACTAGACTGCTGCTGAATGACTGACAGAATGAAAAAACTGAGTTATACTGTCGATTCCCACAACGCCTCTCAAGAAAAGCTAAATAAAGTAATGTTGAAATTATACAATGCACTAGTTAGGCCTCTTGTGTACAGCTCTCATTGCTGCATTACAATAAAGGGCACCGCTGCCCCAGGAAGAGAGGCAAGAATACTGTAATTCCTGTGTTAAAAGACAGTCAGACACAGAAAAGTTAAAGCAACTGATTCTCTTCAACCTTTGAACAGAAGCGATAACAGCCTCAAACAAAATATTCAAATAATTATCTTAATTACTTAATAATTATCACCTGACTGATTGCTTTAATGCGCTTGCTAATCATTTCACATGTACTGTAGCACAGAGACCAGGTTCTTTACACAAAGGGTGATGTGTGAATGAAACAAGTTGTCCAGCCATGTCCTTGCGGATGATTCACTTGGATATTTACATTAGTTGGAAGAGATATCTAGACCAGTAAGGCTCTAGCAGCTAAATAAGCATTATGAAGTTGATGACCTCATCTGTAAACTGTTACATTCAGGCGTCATTGCGTTTGCCGCAAGTACAGCCTGCAGAGTTCAGGTAGTTTCAGGTTACTCTGAAGGAAGTTACAAGGGTTCAGGGATTTCCTTAATATGACAACGTCTGGCGTACATCACCACATTTCTTATTCTTTCACAACGTTCACCTCTGAAGGAAAAGTGCACAGTCCTCTCTCTCAGTCTGTCTCTCTTCCAGGTTGCTCTTTCCTTGACTTTACTCACACAAGACACTAGACCTCATCAGCTGCTCACTCTCTTCATTAATCGCCAGGCACTAGTGTACTCAATTCAAGTACTGTAACTCCACATCGCCCCGTGGAAATCTTCCCCAAAATAACTTTGCTTTTTCTCTTCAGGCATCCCGGCTAGCTCCGTTGGTAGAGCATGAGACTCATAATCTCAGGGAAGTGGGTTTGTGTCCCACGTCGGGCACAGGGCCCTCCATGTTGGAGGCTGGGCACAAGGCTAACAACCCTGTCTCGTAAGAAGCTGATGTTACGGCTACAGCACCAGGATGTTGCTGCCCCTAAGTGCTGGAAGGCATAACAGACGAACATCCATCCTTCTCTTCAAACACCCGATCTTCACCAACAACCAGTTTGTTCACAACGAACACACAACATCACAACAACAAACTGTTTCCTGTCGGTAACTTTCCCTGCAGATCCTGTTTGGGCAGGGACCCTTCTCTGTACCCAACGCTGGTGTCCCTGATAAGGCAGCAGCTGGTTTCCTTCTCATCTCGCACTCCAAATCTGAGTCTGTTTTACAGATCAGGCCCTGGGCGTGCTAGGGACCCAATCCGAGCCACCTGCATTCCCTTCTCAGCTGTGGAGAGAAGGTACAGTATGCTGCTACCTTGCCCAACTTCTCAAGGTACCAATGCCTCCAGCCAGCCCTGATTAGCTGCCCAGTTCTCTTGGTTTCTCAGCAGCACAGTTCAACCCCATTGAGTCCGTTCAGAACCTGTGAAACTCCTCAGTTTAGCCTAAGCTGTACAGTATTTCCCTCCAGCCTTCCTAACTCACTGAGCCCCACAGACCAGTAAGCCAGCCAAATCTGTTTCTAATGAGCGCACGCGCACACACACACACCTTCCTTCCAGGCTGGAGCTTAGGCAGCCTAGCCTTTTCCTCGCAGCTCATCTGATAAGCTTATTATTTATTCCAGAGGTGTGGCTCCTGGTCTGCACAGCGTATCCCAACAGTTCCTTTCCCTCACATGGAATTTGTATGTCTTCTGAGTGCTAATTACTTGTTCAGACCAGCTGTGCCTCATTTTGCAGATTTTTTCCAAATACCAGGCAGTCGTCTTTGGTCAAGGCCACACCTCTGAGCCTAGGCTGTAAGCCAAGATGGCGACTTCCTCGCCAAACCGCCTCCCATAACCCCACATATATGTATTCTGCTTCCAAATTAAGGTGTCCAAATAAGGTTTTTACGTTCTTTGTAATGCAATTAGCAAAATCCCCAAAATAACAAACCCATTAATTTCCACATTCCACATTAATTTCCTGAACCCTTGTCCGTGTTTGTTATTCACTTACTGTAAGTAGAAGTGCATTTAATATGTGAAGTGTGCACGTGCCTTTTCCCTTAATTATTCAATCATTTGCGTGACACTCACAATTTGAAAGTGTAAAATTGAGGCTAATAAGTTAATTGCTTGAGATAATTCGGCTGTAGATCTTTCTCAAAAGAGTAATAAAGGCTGCTTAGAAATTCTATCAGACAAACAGAATATCTAAAATATGCCGCTGTTTTGTACATTTTTAATGACGCTTCCACTTAAATTAGCCTTTCCTTAATTTTGTGCTCTAATATCTGTTAAGCAGCGGCAGTACTTCAGATTCAGATGATTGCACCTCATAGGTGTCCTAGCAAGCAAGTCCAGTTGCTGCTGAAGGACAAATCCACCTTTAACGTGTCCCATAATTCTCTGATTAGAAGGCTGCTGTCCTGACTTCATGTACACTGCACAGTGTGATCATGGCGGTTCCGTGCGGTGTCGTGCCCTCTGCCACCCCGTTCCGTCCCGCATCACCTGGGGCGCGAACCCGGGTCTCCAGCGGAACCAGCCGTATCTGAACTAGCTCCGCTGCAACAGCACTCCATTTTAACCTGTATAGCCGTGGTAATAAGGCATTCTGTCTTTCAAAGCTGGACAACATTGAGTTGTCCTCAGCGTAATGTCCCCCTCTATGGATTTTATGTAAGTCCAGAGTCCATCCATCCATTTTCTCATCCCATTATCCAAAAATGGGTTGCAGGGGAGCCAGAACCTATTCGAGCAAGCAACAGGCCGAAGGCAGAATACATCCTGGATGGGATGCCAGTCTATCACAGGGTACATATTGTGACAGTGGGAAGGGATTTCCCACTATACACCACTAGGGGGCCTTCTAGCTGCCCTCTCTCTAACCAGTTTCACGTGAGAATGTATATCAGTACCACCTGGGTTTTCGTTAGGAACCCAACATTGCATTCTCACGCGATCTCCCTGCGTCCGCTTCAGAACCACAGCACCAGCTGATAGGCTGCGGACGTCCGTTTCATTCTCTTGCAGAACCCTCTACTCTCCCGGAGATCCTCGCAATTGTCATGATTCCCTGCGGGCCAAGAGAACGCAACCCAGTGGCTACGCGTCTCTACCCTACCTCGACTAGAGGTGTCGATCCTCCGCCGGTGAAAAGGCAGCCGCAAATCCCACTCTGTTGCAATACACAAAAACACTCATACCAGGGGCAGCTATTCCAAAAGGCAGTTAAGCTACCAGTATATCTCTGGAGTGTGGGAGGAAACCAGAGCACCCATAGGAAACCCACTGCACCACTAGGCCATCCACAAGTCCTGGGTCATTTAACGGAAAAAAAGGGAGAAGTGTGGCTGCATCTGTATCTGTTCTATTTATGAGGGGGGAAATGAGAGACCTGTAACATACAGGTGGCTCTGTGGCTCAGGATCTGCGCTTGTGGCTGGAAGGCTACTGCTTCGTATCCCGCATCCAGCAGAGGAGTTCCACTCCGTTGGGCCCCTGAGCAAGGCCCTTAACCCCAGCTGCTCCAGGGGCGCTGTACAATGGCTGACCCTGCACTCTGACCCCAAGCTTCTCTCCCTGTCTGTGTGTCCCATGGAGAGCAAGTTGGGGTATGCGAAAAGACAAATTCCTAATTCAAGAAATTGTATGTGGCCAATAAAGTGATCTTACCATATACAATAGTAACAAACCTCCTGTTACCTAGACAGATCAATTTAGAACAACTTCCAAATTACACTGACCACCCTTAAATCTGGAGCTTAAGACTCCTCTGGTAGCTTCCTAGCGTATCAGCATTGCCAGCTTGTAGCCTGACCTCGTCGGATCTCAGAAGCCAAGCAAGGTTGGCTCTGATCTGTACTGTGATGGGAGACCTCCAAGGCAGTAAAGAAAAGAAGATAGCAGTCTTGTTTCTTTTTATGGTGCTTTTTTCTGCTGCCATTTGTGGGTGTGCGATCGTTCTTTCTCTGTTTGTAGATTTCCAAGGCAAACCAGGATCCAGCTGGGGACTGTGGACCAGTAGGTGGCGCTCTTCCCCCTGGATGAGACTTTCCAATCCCGTGCCCCGGCATGATGATCGGGGATACTGTGCTGAAGTAAGTATCTTCCATCGAATCAGATGATAAACTGGGATCCTGATCACTTGGTCATTAAGATCCCATGGCACTATTAGTAGGAATAAGGGAGTAGTGGTGGAGGTTATCCCCCAGTGTCCTGGTTAAAGTCATTTCTGGGCATCCGGGACAGTTTGGCCAATTTTTTTTTCCTAATTTGTTCTGCAGCAGTGCTACTGGTGTACATTAACCAGCCGCTGGCTGCACCTCAGTGTTTGTTGAAATCAGTCCCCTCCTTGGGGATTTTGTGTTGTGAAAGGCAGTATATAATTGTAAAGCAATGTTATTATTGTGCGGTTTCTCTCTGTTGTGGTCAACACAGGGCAGCCTGCAGTGTCAAGGATGTTAGTTGGTTAGGAGCAGTTAACCAGTATGTTAAATAAAATGTAAAACGTCTCCCTTAGAGAAAAATTAAATGATAAAGGCATGAAAAAATGTGGTTATCTTAAAAAATGCCAGGCTGATGAGTTTGGCAATTCATCAGTCAGTGGGTTATTCTTTTATGTCATGCCTTATTATGGTGAGCAATGCCCCAGAGTACTTTATACTGTACCTATTTGAAAGGATGAAGTCCAATATGAAATCATGTCATTTTACCTCCCTCTATCAGATTTTGCTTTACCCTCTAGTCTCTTCCGCTCCTACGTGTGGAGTGACGTCCCTCCAGCGTGTCTTCCAGTCCTGTGCCAGCCATCCCCATGGAGTCGTGTGTGCCCATTCCTTCAATCCTCATCGCCTCCTCCCATCTTCCCCTGACTCTTTCTTTTACTCCTGCATTGCGAACCCATTTGATGAAATGGTTTTCCTTCCTCCTGCAACACATTTTGCTTATTGAAGGCGTGTGCCTCATAAATTACAAATTGATTGAGGATCACAAACCATAGACGATATAAACGAGCTATTTACAAGTATTACCACTCAATTTCTCTATCACTATAGGTAGAAATTAACTCTGGGTCCTACTCTAGATTTTCCATTGGAGACAAGATCTGATACCACTCACAGTTTATTAGGTATTTCTGAGTTACTATTCCCATCTTTAAAAGTCTACATGAGTAACTATTTTAATTCTGCAACTGACAAAGCAGTGGAAACTGTCCTCCAGTTTAATTTCCTGGTTTGCCAAGTTTGTTGAAAATGTTATCGTGAGTAACTACAGTAGCTCATTGTTGAAAGTACTGAAGTTTGTGAAGTGGAAACTCTCCATCTAAAAGCATCAGTTTTACTTTAAACAATTGCATCCTGAAGGGTGGCTTGGGAAGATCCAGACAGAAACTCCCTGGAAAAATCTTTGAACCCCAGCTGTTAGTAGCTCCGGTCATGAAATACAGTTATTTTAAAGGAGAACTGCAGTCCCAATTTCTCAGACCAGCTTCAATCTCAGTCACAAAGTAAAGTAATTAACGTCGTAGAACACAATTTACACATTCCGAATTAAGCACAAAATCATTCAATTTGTGAAATGATTGTAAGACGCCATATTGCTGCAAACTCGCATTTGAGTTCTCACGAATTGCAACATGAAGCGGCTCTTCCTGCTCACTAGTCACTGTAATGACTAATGCAATGTGATGTACAGTACGAGCAAACAAGTACAGGTTGAAGCAGACATTTCACCACAGAAATGTTCCAATAAGGACATGCATGTAGAGTTAACAAGTAAGTAGTATTTCTGGAAATCAAAAGCCATATTTCTATTGGATTAAAAGAGATGTGTTCACAAGCCCGCTTGTTTACTGCTTAACAGAGCAACACATCCCTGGAAGAGTCTCAAAAAATGGCGCTGCATATACCTGGAAATTCCATCTATTTTGTGAGTTAATAGGAGGTTTTACAAGTTACTGTGTACGTTTTACTTTCGTTGTGGTTTGAAATGCACTCAGCACTGATGATTCTTTCTAATGCCGAAATATGAAAATAGCATTGCAACTCCCCTTTTAGCCTAGGATCCAAGGTTTTTTACAACTGCATACATTTACTGTATACACACCGTATATATAAATGAACGCATACATCATAAGATACAGTATATGCGAAAAAGGTTTCTTTCAATTAGACTACCTTTATGTTTTAACTGTGTGACTAAATCATATTGCAAGTATTGCAAGATGTTATGCAGGCCCATGTAAAAGCAGGCTTCGCTGGTAATAAAAGGCATTAGAAGTTATTACATTGCAAGTGTTCCCATCTGATCGCGGTTTTATTAAGTCTGTGATGCTACTGTGCAGCTATAAAAACGGAATCATAACCAGAGCCTCCTGACATGTACTGTAGGTGTGTTTGCTGAGTGGTTTCCCAAGGACTGGGACTTTGCAACAGATCGGTTTAATCAGAGAAACTGAGCGGAGATGTGCCGAGTTCCAGCAGGCTGAAATATCGACAAGCCGACAAAACGAAATGCCCAATTGTGTGGCTAGACCACTCTATCGGCTTTGTATTGATCAGGCTGGAGAAAAGCACCAAATGGAAACACAAGACATTAAGCGTGATACAGCAACTGCGAAACATGAGCAGGAAATACAGATGCATTGGCATTCAGCACTGTGCACTTTATATAGTTGCAATTCAGAATGACCTGCTCCTTTTCAGATACACGTAATTCTAAATTAACAGGTGTTCTGCAATAATCGGTTTAAGCAATTCCTTCCTGGGATTTCTCCACTGAAGCAGAATATTTCTCCTCTGTGTGTCTAGGAGGCAAAATATTACCCTTCAACTTCAGATCCAAAATAAACACCAGGGAATTTAATAAAGTTGAAATGTCTGGAGTGGAACCAAACAGTTTAAGTTTATGATAGCTTTTTTAACATACTGGATATACCTGAAAGCCGTGTTCCTTCCTAAAGTATTGAGTTTTAATATGCTTATTCACTCTTCGGGGTTGGTTGCCATTCAGGATTGGTTGGAGGCTTTTCCAGGTCTCCTCTATGAAAAGGGATGACATTGTCACAGTTTTTTTGTGCTCTGCTACACCCTTGTCTTGGTCTTCCACAGCTTCGGCTGGGCAGTCCCTAAAGGAAATTGACATGTTAATTTTTTGATTATGAGTAAAGTCCTGTCTTTTTCCTGGAGGTGTGTTTGTGGAGAACCATACTATTTATTCTATCAGCTTCGTCCACTGAAATTTCAATAAAAGTCAGGGGAAGAGTTCATGCAGAGTTTTTCATGCAATTGTAATATGGGTGTTGTCTCTCAAAGGGATCTGGGTATTTGCAAGAAGAGATTTAACTCAATTAAAGGCTGTATGCTTATACCATACGATACACCATTGAAAAATATTGCATTTTTTGGCTGTGTTCAACACAGTACAAGACTTCAGCAGTCCTCTTGGAAATGTGAAAAACATTGCTTTTGCAGAAGGATGTATTTTTTATTTTAACAAGCAATCAGTGGGATTGCATATGAAATACATTTTAGCACATTTTGCTCAAAAAAGTTTCTTATGTCCATAGTTATTTTATCTGACATTACAGGCAGCTGGTGCATTTGCTGACTTGTCACGTCGCTTCCTATCATACGTTTCTCTGCCATTATACTGCATGTTCTGACCTGTAGCAGCAAGAGATCTGCAGCAGTATCATGTGTGTCTTTTCCCTCTCTAGAAAGAAACCCATGGCTACACATTTTTAATCCGGGAATTTAACAGCATGTGGAGTCTCCCATATTTTCTTAAACTCTCATTGCCCCAGTTTTTCAAGGCCAAGGCATAACATGAGCAGTTAGTCTTGAACCAGTGGTCTGCTTAGTTTTATTGTTGTAGAATTTAAAGTTCTAATGATTATATCAAGATCTGTTTTTACTGTTGTGTGCAAAATCCACTCCTTTTTTTCTTAATTTATGTATTCTACATGATTTATGACTTTTTCTGATGTGAACAAAAGTTTAATTTGATTTTTCTAACACAAAATGCACCCTCCCCACTCCAGTGATTGTAGAAGCAGCACTGCAAGACTCCACAGCTCCTCCCACCACACACACACACACACATGCGTGGGCGTGTACACGCACAGACACACGGGGACTATGAATCCCAGCAGCTGGAAGTTCAATCTCAATAATATCCAGGATCCAGTGAGTGGGAATGCAGAAGCTCCGATTGCAATGCAGTGCCGATAACGTTTTAGCTGCCATAAGACCAGCCACCCGCTGCTTTGATTTATGACCTTTTAAAAAAATAATAATTCAATTTTCTGTTGGTTCCAGACAGCTTTGTAACAACCTTTAAAGGGAGAATGTATATACACAATATCACGTGTCCAGGACATTGTGCCACCTTAGCCATGGTTACACGCTGACCTTTCTCAATGAAAATCCCCCCAAAATTCTTTATTTGTCCCATTTAAGAACTGAATAGGATAATTGGTTGAGGGAGGCTGCGTGCTCTGCAGCGGGAGCAATCATTTTGGAAAGAGGAATCAGACAGGGGCCGTGTTCAGCACTGTATTCAGCAGATATGTGATATGATTATTATATGATTAGTCAGACTGTATGAAGTGTGAGTAAGAATAAGGTAATAGGGAGGACTTTGAAATTATGCTGAATCATATTCTGCTGTCCAAGATGCAAGTCAAGCTTTGATTGGAAGCACCACTGGGACACTATACTGTAAACAGGCGCTGTCCTTCGGATGAGACGTAAAACCAAGGTCCTGACTCTCTGTGGCCATTAAAAATCCCAGGGCTTCTCTCGAAAAGAGTAGGGGTGTAACCCCGGCGTCCTGGCCAAATTTCCCATTGGCCCTTACCAATCATGGCCTCCTAATAATCCCCATCTATGAATTGGCCTCATCACTCTGGTCTCCTCCCCACTGAGAGCTGGTGTGTGGTGAGCGTTCTGGCGCATTATGGCTGCCGTCGCATCATCCAGGTGGATGTTGCACACTGGTGGTGGAGGGGATCCCCATTGCCTGTTAAGCTCTTTGAGTGGAGTGTCCAGAAAAGCGCTATATA